CTGAGGGACAGCGCCCAGGCCCAGAGTTCAGGCCCCACGACTGGACCCAAAAAAAAAAAAAAAGGTCAAATCCAAATACTGAAGAAAAAAAAAATCTAACTTCTACACAGCTACCAAATTAAGTCTATAACTGTGGTCAAGCTAATCATTTTTCCTGGGCATATTCCTGATTATTAATACACTTGGAAATTTTCCAAATGTTGTCCTACTTACAACAACAAACACTGCTGAGAATTCAGGGGGAAATAAGCCCTTATATACTGCTGGTGAGAATGCACATTAGTGCAACAACTATAGAAATCAATATGGAGTTTCCTCAAAAAACTAAAAAATAGGGGCTGGGAAGGTGGCTCAGTGGTAGAGCGCTTGCCTTGCATGCATGAGGCCCTGGGTTCGATTCCCCAGCACAACATAAGCAAAAAGAAAAAAAGCTGGAAGTGGTGCTGTGGCTCAAGTGGTAGAGCGCTAGCTTTGAGCTGAAGAACTGAGGGACAGTGCCCAGGCCCAGAGATCAGGCCCCACGACCGGACCAAAAAAAAACTAAAAAATAAACCTACTTTATGTTCCCATGGAGAATATACCTGAAGAAGTCTAAATCAATTTACAAGAAAGACATCTGCACACCCATTTTTCTGCAATTTAGTTCACAACAGCCGAACTGTGGAATTGGCTAAGGTGCCCAACACGATGAATGCATAAAGATGTGGTGTATGTATACCATTGAATACTGGTTATTCAGGCATAAAGAAGAATGAAAATTTATCATTTGCAAGAAAATGGATAAAACTGGAGATCTTGTTGAAGATAAGGCAAGCTCAAAAGGCCAAATGCTTCATACTTTACTCATTTGTTGAATTTAGACTTTCAATGTACATACATACACATGCATACACAAACAGAGCACTAGATTGTAACTTGGGACTTTGGAGAGATGAGAGGTAGGAGCCAAATGAAAGAGAATGATTGAGGAAGAATAATATTGAAATATACCATGTCTAAATATGAGACTGTATAACAAAGCTGTTGAACAACAAGGCTGGGAAAATGGGGAGAAAATAAAAGCAGTGATTAGTCTAATTAAAATATATGTATTTATGTGCAAAATATCATGATGAAATCCCTTAATACAATTTATATATACTAAAAAGAGAGTAAAATGGGAGACAGGTATTAGTAGAATAGTGAAGGGTGAAAGCATGTGAAAATGAGTATTATATGTGTGTATAAAAATAACTTATTGAGGGGCTGGGAAGGTGGCTCAGTGGTAGAGTGCTTGCCTTGCATGCATGAGGCCCTGGGTTCAATTCTTCAGCACCACATAAGCAGAAAAAGCCGGAATTGGCGCTGTGGCTCAAGTGGTAGAGGGCTAACCTTGAGCTGAAGAGCTGAGGGACAGTGCCCAGGCCCAGAGTTCAGGCCCACAACCGACAAAATAAAAAACAAAAAAAAAAAAACGTATTGAAAATGTCTTTTAAGAAATGAGGGGAGCCGGGTGGCTGACTCCTATAATCCTAGCTACTTAGGAGGATGAGATCTGAGGATCATGGTTCAAAGCCAGCCCGGGCAGGAAAAGTCTGTGAGACTCTTATCTCCAATTAACCACAGAAAACCGGAAGTGGTGCTGTGGCTCAAGTGGTAGAGAGCTCGCCTTGAGCTGACGAGGGAAGGGACAGAGCCCAGGCCCTGAGTTCAAGCCCCATGATGGACCCTTCCTCCCCCACAAGAAAAGCAATGAGGGAAGATGAGGGAGAGTGATCAGGGGGTGAGGTTGACAGGGTACATCACACGCATGTAAGGAAAAGTGACAATGAAGTTCCCCTTGTACAATTAATGTATACTAATGAAAAAATCTTTTTTTAAAAAACACTAGTAAGTAAAATGATTTATAAACTCTAAAAAAATGTATCTACATTCATTAATATCAACTAAATTTCTTGAGTGAATAATGACTAGTGTGGCATTTCCATGGGCTACTATCTAAAAAGCACTATTTTGAGCTAAATATGGTGACAATGCCTAAAATCCCAATAGTGGAAAGGCTGAGGGTAGAGGATCTCCAATACAAAGTCTGTCAGGGATACACAACTAAAACCTGTCTCAAAATAACAAAAACAAAACAAACAAAAAGCTTAAAAGAAGGAGGGTGCTATGCAAAAGATATCTGAGCCAGTAGGAATTGGAAAAGTGTTTGGTTTTTTTAATCTACCTTTCAGTCAGGTAACTGAAAGAGACTCTTATTCTATAATGGAACCAAGTTCAGGTTTAGAAACAGGGAAACCAACTAAAATCCTCTAAACTGCTGCTTTTCTTTGTAAGCACTAATTATAGGTACCTGCTTTAAAAACAGATTCCTTTCTTTCACCAACAAAGTCAATGACTTCACCGCCCAAGGATTTTATCTGTATCTCCCATCAATAGTAATCCCCTAATCTTCCAGGGCCTTAGTCCTTCCACTACATTAAGGGAATGAGCAGAAGGCAGAAGTAGGGATAAATGGCAACCAAGTACTAAACGACATAGAAACATTTTGAATAATAGAGAGTACCATAAATATTATTAATGATGATGTTATGATAGTTATAGAAAACATTAAGAATTGCCTATTTTTATTCAAGATATCATACTATCTACTTAAAGATATCCACATCTCATCAATTTTATTTTTTAAGCAAACTCATAGAATCCAATAAAAATGAAAACACAATCTACCAGAACCTTTGGAAATTAGTGAAAGTAATCCTAAGAGGAAGGTTTAGAACTTGTGAGCACCTACCTCAAAAAAAAAAAAAAAAAGGCACCAGTCACACCTGTAATCCTACCTACTCAGGAGACTGAGATATGAAGGATTGATATTTGAAGTCAGCCAGAAAAGTTTACTAGATTCAATCTTCAAAATAATCAGGAAGAAAGCAAGGTTGAAGGCATTGCTCAAATGGTAGTGCCAGCAAAGCACAAAGCACAAAGCCCTGAGTTCAAATTCAAATACTGGGGGCAGGGAGGAGAGAAACAGTCACAGAGGGACTATACAAGAACTAAACAAAAAGTTCAAAAAATTAGCTGGGTACTAGTGGCTCATGCCTATAATTCTACATACTCAGGATGTGAAGATCTGAGGATCTTGGTTCGAAGTCAGCCAGGGCAGGAAAGTCGGTGACACTCTTATCTCCAATAACCATGCAAAAACTGGAAGTGGACTATGACTCAAGGAGGTAGAGCATTATCCAAAAAATCTCATTGACAGTGCTCGGGTCCTGAGTTCAAGCCCCACAACTGACAAAAAAATAAATAAAAGCTTAAAAAATGGTTATTTGAAAACATTCATAAACCCTTAGCCAATCTGACTATAAGGAAATGGTCCAAATAAATAAAATTAGAGATGAAAAGGGGCTTATCACAACAAATACAAGTGAAATCCAGAAGATAATATTTTGAATACTTAAGACTCAAAACTAGAAAGTTCTAGAATAAATGGATAAATTTCTAGATCAACTTGACCTACCAAAATTGAACCAAAAATATGTCACTTAAATCTATAAGAAATTAGACTGAAGTAGTAATAAAGAAGTAATAAAGCTTGTCCAAGCCCAATGTTGGTGGCTCAAGCCTGTAATCCTAGCTACTCAGGAGGCTGAGATCTGAGGATCATGTTCAAAACCAGCCTGGGCAGAAAGCCTGTGAGACTCATCTCCAATAAACCACTAGAAAACCGGAAGTGATGCTGTGGCTCAAGTGGTAGAGCACTAGCCTTGAGCTGAAGAGCTCAGGGACAGTGTCCAAGGCCCAGGGTTCAAGCCCCATGACTGACAAAAAACAAAAACAACTACCCTAAAATCCAGCAACAGCACTCCTAAAGGTATTGCGAAGAAATTTAAGTCAGGGCATAATAGAGGCATTTGAACACCCATGTTCATTGTGGCACCATTCACAACAGCTGAGCTATGGAAACAAATGATGAATGGACTAAGAAAAGGTGTTGTATAATTCTATGGATT